CACGAACCAATGAAGTGAATTGTCTCCTGCAAACTCCACTCCCATTTGGCTCCCCTTTTATTTCCTATGGGAGGGGCCATTCACTGTCCACCTGTGGCTTTACTCCAAAGTCGACCCCTGTTCTTTAGCTCTTCCCTTCGTCTGGCAACTCTGCGCATGCGCACACTGGGAACAGGCTCCAGCTGTTCCTCTGCCTCACTGATGTCTGACTCTGAAGGCAGCTGATAACTGTCAGACGGCCCTGGCCCCCTCTCTGCCTCTGACATAGAGCCCTCATCAGAGCCTTCCCCAGACTCCAGGACTGGCCCATGCTCCTCCCCAGACTCCTCACTGTCTGAATTTGTGGGCCACAACAGAAGCAATTGTTGAATAAGCACTTACACAATTATTTTATTCGCTCGGGGACGAAACATTTACCATGCTTTGCCCGCCAGTTTCCTGTTAACAGCTGTGCTTTTCTCCGTCTCTCCATCCTCCCTCCCCTCCCTTCCCCAGGCACTGAGTACCGTGTAAAAAATGCCACAGGACAGCTTGGCCCTCTTCCCTCAAAGGTCTGGAGATCTCGAAGTGGCACCACCGTAGATTTTCTCCGGCGATGGCTCCGGTCCTCCCGTCCTGCAAGTCCGGGTACCCTCTCTGCCAGCTGAACGTCTCTTCCTATTATGTATTTAAAAAGAAAAGGACTTGGCATTCGGCCCCTGGCAAGACTCCAAAGCTTCCACTCAGGCCTCGGTTTCAGGCTCTGCGGTTTGGAGGCGTCTCCTTCCAGAACTCAGCATTAACCCAGCCGGTGTTTTCCGATTCATGGATCTGTATTTATAGCTAACAAATATTTCCCCCCCCCTCCCCAAACACTCTTTTTCTGATGCTCCCCACTCCTCCCCAGTAACTCAGCAGACGGGGCGTGGTTTGGCAGCTTTCCCCCCCCCCCCGAATAGTGTAATGTTTTGAAAAGCAAACACCCACATTTTTGCCCCCCACTTTTTCTGCCCCCATAGGAGAACCAAACCTTCTGTTTCACTGTTTTGGTATTTTGTCCCTGCTCTCAGCAATCCCTTTTTAGCTGAATTAAGAAGCGTCCGCCAGCTGTAAACTCTGCTTTGCCTGCCTGCTTGCCTGCCTGCCTGCCATGAAGAGAGAAGAGGCGTTTTAAGCTGCCCCCGTTTGTGCCGCCGGAAATGCCGGTATAACCGGAGCGTTTCCAATCGACAGCAAGTCCGGGCCTTTTCCACACACCGCTCCCAAATTACTGTTGTAATCATGCATCTTTGTTAAGCAGAAGTAGCCTTGGAAATGAAATTACTCTCCCTCCCAGAAATGTTTCGAACAAACGCAGGGGGACACGGGGGCTAAGACGCTGAGCTTGTCGATCAGACAGGTCGACAGTTCGAATCCCTAGCGCCGTGTAACAGAGCGAGCTCCCGTGACCTGTCCCAGCTTCTGCCAACCTAGCAGTTCGGAAGCACGTAAAAAATGCAAGTAGAAAAATAGGAACCACCTTTGGTGCGAAGGTCACAGCGTTCCGTGCGCCTTTGGCATTGAGTCATGCCGGCCACATGACCACGGAGACGTCTTCGGACAGCGCTGGCTCTTTGGCTTTGAAATGGAGATGAGCACCACCCCCTAGAGTCGGGAACGACTAGCATATGTATGCGACGGGGGAACCTATAACTTTTAAGGAACTGTTCCCCTTTTAAGAAGATAACCGTGGTGCGTTTCACTGGTAGTTTGCAAAAATGATATATACCTTTCCTTGAGCTGGTTCTTCTTTGGGAGTG